ACAGAATAAACTTTGGGTTGTCACAGAAAGTATGGATATGTGTGGAAGGTAGTACTGTGCCCGTACTACTAAAAGCATAGGATGTATACTCAAATTTAGGAAAGTCACGAGGATTGTACAAGGCATGTAGAATGAGGAATTCTTTCAGTATCATTTCATCTTTTGTATGGTTGATTTTCAGTATGGTGATGATCACTCGTGGTACAGGTCATGGTTCTGGTTCAGGTTGGGAGGAGTCAATTGTGAGACAATCCCACACTCCTTAAGATAGTCAAGGAACTCGGTACTAAGTTACTCACCACCTCGATCGGATCGCAGCATCTTAATGTTCCTGCCCAATTGGTTTTCTACTTCCTGTTTAAATTCTTTAAACCTTTCAAAGGTTTCTGACTTATGTTTGATTAAGTAGACATAACCATATCTACTAAAATCATCAATAAAAGTCACATAATACCGATTAGCATCCCTTGTGGTGGTTTTGAATAGTCCACACACATCAGTATGTATTAGGTCCAACAAACCCTCACCCCGTTCAAAAGTACCAGTGAAGGGTGATTTTTTCATCTTTCCAAGTAGACAAGATTCACAGATATCATCCGATTTAAGGTCAAATGATTCCAATACTCCATCCTTTTGGAGTTGGCCTATGCGTTTCTTGTTTACATGTCCAAGACGACAATGCCATAATGATGCTTTATCTAGGCTAGTAGAAGAATCAATATACAATACATTATTTCCTAAGTTGTCTACAATCGACATAATTTCATACACACCATCACAAGGTAATGCTTTAAAATAAAATACATTATTAAAGAAAGCATTAACACCACTACATCCATTATTAAACGAAAAGGTAAAACCTTGTTTGTACAAAACATGAAAAGAAATAATATTTCTCGCCATTTCAGACTAGTACACACATTTATTCAAGTCTAATTTTAACCCATTATTCAGCAACAAAGTATAAACTCCAATCTTGGAAACAGGTGAAGCTTTCGTATTTCCCATGATCAAGTTTATCTTCCCGTGCTCCACATCCTCACTTCTTCTTAGACCCTGCAAAATAGAACATATGTGAATATTACATCCTGTATCAAGCACCCAAGAGTTAGAATATGGTGAGTTATTAGACAATATTGTGTAAATACTTGCATGGGTGGGTTTCACTTTCCCATCCTTTAGATACTGCAAGTACTTAGGGCAGTTTCACTTCCAGTGCACCTTGTCGTGGCAATAATAGCAATCAGCATCCTTGGGAATGGCAGAAGGAGTGACAGAACCGCTCTTGGTCCTTGATGAGGAGCTTTCAAGAGACTTTCCCTTGGTACACTTCGAAGGGGACTTCCTCCTTTTCCCTTTGCCTTGCCCGATAGCCAAAACAGGGGTAGATGTTGGAGTAGGAGTAGTAGAGGTGACAACCGACTTGCCCTTCAGACCGGTTTCAGCGGTCTTCAAGAGTCCTTGAACTTTGCTAAGAGTAACTCCCTCCTTGTTCATATGATATGTCATACGAAATTGGTAATAGCAAGAAGGTAAGTAGTGCAAAATGATATCAATTGCCAACTCCTCAGGGAAGTTCACGTTTAGTTTGAGCAAACGGTCCACATACCTTTGCATCTTTTGCATGTGGCCCGTGACGGATTCACCATCCTTCATGCGAGTTGTTATCATGGAGGAGATTATTTCATACTGCTCCTGACGAGCACTCTGATGGTACCTTTCCATCTGGTCTTGGTGCATCTCAAAAAGGTAAAAGTCCTCATAGGACTTTTGAAGCTCATCTGTCATCGTGGCCATCATGATGCATGCCACCTTAGTAGCATCTCTCTCATGTGTCCTGAATTCAGCGATCTCCTCAGGAGTAGAAGTGGACTCATCATGCTCCTTTAACTCCTTATCGAGGATGCATTCTTTGTCCTCATAACGAGTAACCATCCTGAAGTTCCTAATCCAGTCCATGAAGTTGGAACCATCAAAGATGACTCTCCCACGAAGATTCATGAGAGAGAAAGAGCTAGTTGGGTTAGAGCCCGAAGCATTGTTGTTGGAAGACACCTGAAAGAAGAAAGCAAGTTTAGATTAGATATATAGAGTCTTTAATAAGACACCTAAATGTAATATTAAGGCTAGGATCCAATCACAATATATTATACTTAGAAGAGGGATGCCGTAATCTAAGTAATAACATATTTGAAAGGTAGGTGCATGACAATTCACCAATTTCCACCATGAAAAACGAAATGAATTATTAGGTTTTAATTGGATTTGAAATTCCTAGATTCTTTTGAGATTCATTGAACTTTTCAATGGCATGTTTCAATCTCGATTGTGTCCTTCAAGTTTTGTGACTCGGATGCCGAGGATCACAAAAAAAGGTGTGAATAACCATGCTAATTCACTTGGTACCCTTAATATTATTACCTAATCAATGTGTCGGTTAACCACACACGCTCCATTGATCTATGACAAATATTAAGTCACCCTTTGTGATCCTTACTAGTCCAAGTTAGTGTGCCGGTTAACACACACGCTCCATTGATCTGTGACAAACATTAAGTCACCCTTCGTGATCCTCACTAGTCCAAGTTAGTGTGTCGGTTAACCACACACGCTCCACCAACGACTTGGTAAGGTACAAAGTGTGAATTCCATGGACTAGCACCATGTTCACATTTTTCCTAAAGTAACTAAGATTGGGAATTAAAAAATGTTTAGTTACTTTATAATAATCATTATACTTTTAATGAGAATTTAAAGTCATTGTCCAACCCGTTCGGCTAACAACCCTTCACCAATCAAGGAAGCGGTGGGTGAGAGTGGACACCCATTAAGATGTCATTTAATAGGCAACAAACTTATACCCCCCTTATAAACCGGCTTCGTGAATGAGTCACACTAACGGTAAAACGACTTATTATTATACATACATATATATATATATATATATATATATATATATATATATATATATATATATATATATATATATATACATATATATAATAATAATAATAATAATAATAATAATAATAATTAATCATTAATGTTATAAATAGTATAAGTGTTGAATTTTAACTATTAAAACTCTAAGGGTTGGAATTAAAGTTTATTAAAGTGTGTGAAACTTTACAAATTCCAAAACTTGAGGACAAGTTGTGTAACTATCCAAAACTTTTCATTTCATAACTTATGAATTAAAGGTTCATAAAAATGAAGATTCTTCATTTTTATATAACTTATGTGTTTTAAATGTGTGTTTAAAAGAAGTGACCTTTGGATATCCATAACTTGAGGAAAAATTATGGACTCAATTAAAACACATAAATAATCAAGAATTAATCCTAAACAATTCAGCAAATAATTCCTATCATCTTCTAAATTCATAAGAACATGAACATGATCATCAAAGTTTCAAGAATTATATGACCACATACAAAGCATGAAATTTTGATATAAGCTATTGTAAATGGATTAGAACAACCATTACACCAACTAAAACAAGTTTTAAAACACCAAAACAGTTTAGGGTAATGTTTCTAGTCCATTTCCAGTAGCAAAAGTCGAAAATCAGCATTCTGAGGCTTCTACTCGCCGAGTGCACAAACCTACTCAACGAGTAGGATGGATTTGGTCATGGACTCGACGACGAGTCCCCCCCATGGACTCGGCGAGTTAATCATGCAGACAGCAAGAAAATAGACTTTTTTTTCATTATTTTGCATCAAGTATTAAACAAACAAGCCTAGGCTCTGATACCACTGTTGGGTTTTGAGCATTCTATCACTTCCTAAGTGTACATGCAACCCTCATAAACCTTCGATCTATGTTTGTCTAAGGTACATGAAAATATTATTTTCCAAGGTTTATAACCTATCTAGCATGGCATGGGGTACTTCTAAACATAAAAGAACTAGATGAATTACATACCTTTTGTTGATTGTTGATTCCTTGGAGTTTGAGAGCCAAGCACCAATAATGTGAATGCCTCAAATGGAAATCACAAATCACCACAAACTTAGAAAATATATGAGAAAGTATACTAACACTTAGAAATCGGCCACCACTATTACACACACTAGAGTCGTTTTTCATGCAATAGAAGCTTGTTTATATAGTGTACATGGTTAGGGTGAAACCCTAATAACCCATGTCTTTTCCTCTTCCAAGGATCCATGGGTTAAAGCTCCATGGATCATCCATGGACTTCCATATAAACTTAGGCCATTAACAAATGAGTATTAGCCCACACCATATAAATGTAATAGCCCATGATTTAATTAGTCTTCCTTTTAATCACTACATTAATTATAATTAATTTAAGATTAAAACTAATTAAATAGCATGACTGTATATGAATATATTATAACTTATAATATATTAATAAATCGTAAGTATTAAATTCTCATAAAATTATCCATAAATAGTTTGGGTGAAGTGCAACCCAAATGGACCATGTCGGGTCGGGTCAAGTATATACCAAATAAGTTATGGACTTAGACACCAAATCCAACAACCTTTGCCAAAAAAAGAGTTGTATAGTTCAAACAACCAACTCCACACAGCGGAAAGCAGTTCATCCTTGCTTTGCCTCAAAGGATTGCAACCTTTTCCAATAAAAGAGTTGTATAGTTCAAACACCCAACTCCACACACTGGCAAGCAGTTCAGCCTTGATTTGGATCAAAGGATTACAACCTTTGACAATAAGAGAGTTGTATGGTTCAAACACCCAACTCGACACAACGACAAGCAGTTCAACCTTGCCTTGGGTCAAAGGGTTGCAACCTTTGACAAGAAATGTGTTACATGAATCAAACACAATAAGCACGCAAAGAAAATAGTGAGCAAACAACATGCATGGCAAGACAAATGGGAAAGTAATTGTTCTATTACATGCCAAAACTTGGCAAACCTAGGCCACACAGGGCCAACATCCAAAGCAAAGTATTCATTCACACCCACTTCAGGGCAGCACTAAGTTTCAAAATCATGAAAGGTCCTTCATTTACTAGCTCCTCCATCCAAGCCTATGATCTTGGCATTGCTACTAGGACCTACTCCCCCATGATCATCATATGCACACAATTGGCAAAGGAAATCAAGATCAAGGGACCCCAACTTCATCATGGAAGCATAGTCACGGGAAATGAATGAGTCAAACACCTCAACCATCTCCCTTGAATGGCTAGAGGTGGAACTGGCAGCACTAGGATTAAACGTTCCAACAACCACCGCCTTACGTAACGCTTCTCTGCCAGATTCATAACCAGCAACGAAACATATGTTCTTGATGCGTCCTACTCCCTGAAAAAAATTTGGAAGCTCAATAATTTTTTCAATATTTCTCACTACTCCATCTTTGACCACCCAATCCAAATCACTCCCAAGGTGAGACAGCACTGCCTCCCGATCAAGCAACAATTTCTCCTTATCCAATAACTATCTCCAGACTTTCCACACCGATGATTAGGGCCTCATTCTGCTGGAGGGTACCATCAAGCTTTAAATCCACCTGAGCAGAATGCTCCTCAAGAATAATTTTCTCGCCAGTAAGAAACTCCAATTACTAGTGAAAAGACTCGATTGAGGATTCCAGATAAGCAACGTGTTGCTAGAGATCACTCTCATTTACACAAAGCTTAAAAGCCACACTTTTGAGACAAAAAATGCGGCGAACCCCCACAATAAGGAAGAAGGAACTTTGAGCGGAAGAAAATTCCATAAATCCAATTATTTGATCATTGATAAAAGCTTCCATCTCAGAAAAAATTCATTTAGGGAAGGCGTGGGGTCAAAACTCAGCAGCAACTTCTTGTTGGGAGAGACGAGAGTCATCAGTGAGATTCCATTTAGGACTGAAAAGATTGTCGAAAGGAAGATTATTGCCTTGAAAATGGGCAATAAGGTCATCATACTCAGATGTCTTAGAAACAGCAGGACACCTACTTACCTCTATAGACATGTGGTGGCTCTGTTGGACCAATCCCAATGGGACCTTTGTTTATGATGGGCTGCTTAGGCGCCCCTATTATCCCTTCGGATCGGGGCGTATTGTAATCAAGGATACGTATTACCTCTTCACTAGAGGGCATGAGAGTTGAAATAAAGTTGGTGGCAAGCTTGCATCAGCGACACAGGTTAGCAACGATATTTCCTTTGGCCGCATAAAAAAGAATTGGAAGACTCAAACGTCCTCTTTTCCTAGTGACACGGAACGTTGAACCCACCAAAATCCCCTCTTTGTTATCTTCCACACACTCCTAACCATTAGAAATGATGGTAGGAGGAAGCACGCTAAGGGCACGCCAAATGGGTTGCCAGTCGAAGGTGTCTCGTCAGCAGTGGTCGAGTGCAAAGGAATCGAGGCAGCAGGAGTAGCGAATCCCTGGGTATATTTCTGACAGGGAGAAGAAAGGCTATCACGAATAGTAATTGGAATAAACTGCAAATCCCCTTGGAACTTCTGCCCAAGCACATCAGAAAAACACAACACCTGCCTCTCTCCTGAAAGATAAACCCCTTTGTATATTCTTTCTTTCTTTTTTTTTAAAAAAAAAAAAAAAGTGGGTGGAGGAAGGGAATAGGAAGAGGAACGAAAAAAAAAGTCAAAAAAACGGAAAATCTTACCTCCATTAACAAAAAGAATTCATGCTGCTCATTACGACGTCGCCACTTGGTGCTCATCCTCGCACCAGTAAGAATGCATTCAGGGCCTCGAGATCAACAACGGAACTTTCCAGAAGGCCAACAGTTTCATGGTCCCGACCAAGTAGTTCGGGTGCATTATTAGAAGTCACTTCAGTTCGAACGTAGGGACCTCCAACTCGAGAACTATTCACCCAGAACCAATGATTCTGCCAATTCTTCAACCTATCTTTCCCGTCGGGAATGAGGGCGTGAGCATTCTTCCAGGTGTAGAAAGTAAACTTGTCAGTAATAGAAAAATGGAAGAATTTCTTAAACATTGGGGGGCTTAGGAGAAAACCTTGAGATCAACACAACATCTCGAAGGCGACGATCTTGTTAACAACATTAAGAGTAAGGTCACAAACATTGACCGTGTTCTTGCAAAGCACCTTGTCGAGAAAATTAGTGGTCAAAAGTCGATAGCCAATATAAAAGGTCTAGACATAAACACTGACTTTTCCCGGAGGAGGTTCCAGAAAGGTGGCTCTGTCCAACGGAACAAGTATTTTGTCTTCCGGCTGAAAGCCATATTTCTCACGGAGAGTCTCAACCTACTCAGAGGTTGGGATAACACCATGGGAAGAAATCATGCTAACAGGGAGAGCCATGTTATTTGAAAGGTAAAGAACGTAGGAAGAAGAAGAAGAATGAGAAGAAAAGAAGAAATTGTATAAAGAGGAAGGTGGGTATTTATGGATAGAGATCATGGCAAATCAAACGCCCAGAAAAAGCAGGACAGTTTGCAGAGGCAATAACTGCTTGATGAGTAAGAAATCCAAACGTGCGTCTATGAGTCTAGCACATGATGTCTTGATATGTTGCCTTATCACTACTAGATTATGAGGCATGATGATGTACCCCATAATGGCCCGTCGTAACACGACTAAACACTAAGGCATCGAGTCAAAGCGAAGCAGCCATTGACTTGAGCACAACAAACGAAAAACCGCTAGACTACACTAACCAATTAGGCCCAATAGCCAGAAAAATCCAATGTTGAGGTTAGGTCTTGATGAGACAGATGAAAGGGTCATCTACCCCCGAAAGCAAATTCCATACGAGAGAAGTCTTCTTGATGCCTACGCAAAGCTGCGAGCTAGAATACGGAAGCAGGTGTCAACATGGTTATGCACATGCAATTACCGTTGATTCCCTCTACACCAATTAGGACGTGTGAACCAATAAAAGGATGATAGGCCAGAAACTGTTGTTATGGTTCCCCCTCGCCCAAAAAGTGCTACCTATATAAGAAACACTAGGATCATAGGGGGATGTATGTTCTTTCTGGACTCTCTCAACAAGCTACCATCTAAAAGCTTTACTCAATCCACTGACTAAAGCGTTGGAGCGTCAACCCGGGATCACCTCTCGGAGAACATTTGATGTGTTTCTCGATTGTGACTATAGGTTTCGCGTAGAAGATTCCTTAGCCAACCAGAGTCACGCCTGCGGAACAACGTCACTATATATATATATATATATATATATATATATATATATATATATATCTATATCTATATATATATATATATATATATATATATATATATATATATATATATATAGACACACACACACTTAGGTTATTGTATTCAACCTAATTAATGTGTGGATGTAGGAATAAATGCGGGCTAATCGTTTCATTTATTTTAAGAAAGTGATTAATACATATTATTAAATTAAAGATATTAAAAAAATTCCATCTAATGATATTTTAGTCAATTAACATAAATTTAAAAAAAGGAAAATTGCAGATTTTAAGAAATAATTAATTCTCTAAACTTTAAAAATCTGATTTCTTGGATAATAAATATATTAATTTGGATATTCTAATAGAATGTGTTAATGATTATCTTGACAAAAACATTAAATTCTGATAGAATATTATAAACATATATTATCAAGATTAATAATTTTTAATGAATACAAATTTTATATGAAAATAATTTTAGTATCTTAAAATCAATAATTACATTCATTCTTCGCAAATACAACTATGAACATACATAAATCACATTCATTCTGAAAGAATATAAGTAATAATGGTTCACAATTACATTTACTCTTTTAAGTATAAGACATTAAAATCTAGTGAACACAAATACATTCTGATAGAATATATGTTGCTAACCATTCTAACAGAAAAAAAAATGTTAATCCACTCTAAATAAATATTGTTACCTTACTTTCCATTCTTCACTAGGCTTCAAAACGAGTTTCCATTATTCACCAATCCTCATTTTCTTTACTTGATGTTATTTTCTTTAGAATTTATAGCTTCATAAGAATTTATAACCTTGCTTCAGCGATGTCTGTACACTCCAAGAACAATTTGAAACAAGGCTAGAATTCTGCATAATTTGTACCTTGGAAAATAACAAGATATATATATATATATATATATATATATATATATATATATATATATATATATATATATATATATATATATATATATATATGAACCAAAAAATTGGCAAGCATTGCAAAGACTATTCTCAACCAATTATTTCATTAAGGGCACAAACGTCACACTCATTTACTTGGTCGTGACATGTTAGCACGTGGTGCACATGCATGGAACATAATATAGACTCGATGGAATAATCATGTGCGATAAACATCCATTGAACGTCATTTAAACATATTTTTCTTTTGTTTTTCATTTATTTTTTATTTTTTCATTTTTAGAAAATTTTTCGTTTAAGAAAAATTAATTTTCTTTTAAATAGATATCTGCTCGGTTTTAAAGTGTTTAATTTTTTTCGTTTTATTTATATTTTTTCTGTTTTTCAAAAAAGTTATTTTTTTCTTTTTTTTTCGTTTATTTAATATATTTATTACATTCTTGAAGATAGTAGTATTTTCTTTTATCTTTTCATTTTTTTTTGCTTTTTTCATTTTTTTAAACTAAATATCAGTTTGAGTTTTTAATGGTAACAATTATAAAATTTTAAATAAGAACAATATTAAGGATCATAATTTACTGTTCGTACTTTTTTTCTAAATCATATAATATTTAGATAATAAAATTTTGAATCATACTATTTTGAATCATAACTATATTATACATCATATATTTTGGATCATAATATACTAAATTAAAAAAAGTTTTTGTTATTAAGATCATTTTGTTTTTTTAATTATTTAATTTTGAATCATAAAAATATAATAACAAAGGAGCATTAAATATTTAGATAAATTTTTTTTAGATCATAATAAGTTAAAGATAATAAACATACTTAATCATAATATTTTTGAATCATAACTATTTTGAATCATTTCTATTTGGATCATATGTTCAACATTTTTTTTGAAATAATCTTTTAAAATCAAGTTTGGTATCTAAAATACTTTATTTATAAATTTTTTTCTTACAAAGTCATTAGAATAGTGAATAGAAGTATTCCATAAATTTTTATTATTTTTTGAAATTTTTTTGTGACTATTATAATAATAGAAAATAATTTTTTTTTCAAGTTTTCATTATTGTGCTCATTTTGTAGAGAATTAAATTGTAAGAACTTTAGTTTTTTCATAATATTATTTCAAAGAAAAAAAAAGTTATACCCGAAAAACTAAATAGACGAAAAAAAAAAAACGCACCAACAAATAAGATCAGGACACTTCTCATGTTGGAGTTGAGGATACGTGACAGCGCCTGGGTGAGTTTTCCTTCTAGTTTTCTTATTTCTTTTATTTTTCTTTCACTTGTACCTTAAAACAATTAATATTCTCCGAAAATTATAAAAATCTCGTAATTAATTAAGAAAATGGCATATTATCTCGCGATATTTTGACGATATATAAAATCAAATTCTGGCTATTTATTTTTTTTCAATCTTAAGGCAAAAAATTAACCTTGCGGTTCCTACTGTTTTTTGAGTTTCTACTTAATCATATATATATATATATATATATATATATATATATATATATATATAATTGTTCAATAGAGAACCATTATTAATCAAATACCCAATGAACAATTCCAAAACGTTAAAATTTAAAACGATCAACGACTAGAACCATTATTAATCTAGTACCCAATAAACTATTCCAAAGCGTCAAAATTTAAAACGATCAATGACTAGATGAAGGTTTGTAGATATTTCGAGGGACGCACATGCACTAGATTATAACAAAACCCATTTTTTGAGTTTAATATTTTTAGACCTCGTTTTTCATCGAAAAAAAATAAAAAATGAATATATTATTGTTCATGATTTTTCATAATCTTTCCATAGAGATCTATATAGATACATAAAGATAAAGTTTTTATTTTTCAAAAAAATCTACTTCTTTTTATTTTTTATTTTTTGAAAAGTGAAGGTTTATTTTTTATCGAAAAAAAATTAGTAAATATATCAAAATTCATATTTTTTATACTTTTTAAACATTGATTTATATTAATGTTAAAAAAATCAAATTTTCAATTAAGATTCACATTGTAAATCTGGTCAGTTTTACATTGCGAATCTGCTCAATTTCATAGTATGAATAATATACAGTTCAAATTTGCAATGTGAATAATTCATCTGTTAATTTTACAAAACTAATTGACAAGTAATCAAAACGTTAAAATATTATAAACCTACATAGAAGTATATTTCGATTCATATGTAAATTTTACTTAATTTGTGAATGCTCAAAGAGTTGAAATAATAATTTGGATTCACATTGTAAATGTGAAAATAGAAATATTTGCACATTTTATTCACAAGTTTAGATTCATAACGTGAATCTAAAAAGATCGAGTTTTGTTTTTTTTAATTGATGATAATGTTTATTAATAAAGGATAAAAATTGAGATTTTGGTATAATTTGTTTTTTTTTAATAAAAACAAATTTAAATATTAAAAAAAAACAACAAAATAAAGTGGTCTTTTTTTCGAAAAAAAAAAGTTCATTTTTTACATATCAACATCATTCTCTGTGAAAGGAGGACGAAAAATCATGAACGCTATATTTGTTTTTTTTTTCGATAAAAAACGTGGTTTAAAAAAAATAAACAAAAACAAGATGTGGTTTTTTTGGTAAAAATATGGGTTTTATGATATAATTTGGTGTATATGTATCCAAAATTCAAATGTACATCCATTCACTTGGCTGTTGATCATTTTGATTTCCAAAGTTTGTTATTGTTTCCTTGTTTCTTTGTTTTATATATATATATATATATATATATATATATATATATATATATATATATATATATATATATATATATATAACAAAAATAAATAAAATATATATCTAAAACAAAAAATTAAATTAAAAAACCATGTGGTGTATTTTTTTTTGTTTTTTTTGTAAACCACAAGAACATGTTTGAATTTTCAACCAAATTTTAGAACTGATTTTATAAGAAAAATAACAGATCAAACCATAAAAATCATTAAATGGACTAGAATAATAATTCTTCGAAAAAATTACGGTGATAACAATATTAAAAACATTGTCAAATATTTGTTTTAACTACTCGTTGAAAATTTAGAACTTTTATAATATTAATCGTAAATAAAATGTTAAATTTTGACAAAATAAAATAATTAAATGCAAAACTTTAAAAAGAAA